ATATATATATATATATATATAAATTCTCTCATAAATTCCGTTCTTTTGGTTGAGACTTGAAAGGTATATATATATACATATAAATATAAAAGAAGAGCTCTTTCTTACCATATTTCGTACAGTTATCATATCATTGTACAGATTTCATCTCTCTAGCTCTTTCGTTTCAGCCTTAGAGAAAAAAAAAAAATAGAAAAAGAAAAAAGCTTGAGAGATACGAAGCGGCGAAAGGGCAAAAAAAAAAAAAAAAAAAAAAAAAAAGGAAGCTTTCTCTTTCTCATAACCCAATTGAAAAAGACAACCCTGTAAAGGAAAGAGAAACTCAGAGCTTGACGTCCTACATTTTGGGCAGACCCAAAACCTTTCTTTGTTTTTTTTTTTTTATCCTAGGGCAGTTTCGCTATTTATAAATTCTTCTGTTTTTCTTTCTTTAAAAAAAAAAATTATCAGAAACAGAGAGAAAGAAGAACTTTTGATGACATAAAAGAGAGAAGAAGAAGAAGAAGATGAAGCCGAGTCACGACGTACTCAAAGCGTCCAATTTTTTCGCGGTTCCCGAGAAGCCAAGCGAATTCTTCGTCCTCTTAATGCGCGTAGGCCTTCTGGTTTTCTTCCTCGCGTCGATCTCGCTCGCTCTCTACTCGGCTTTCGTCTCCAAATCGCCTCTCCGATTCGCCCTCCCGAACCGGCCCCGAACCGCCCCACTCTCGCCCGATCAAAACGACACCGGAGCGCCCACTAACATCTCACACGTCCTCTTCGGAATCGGAGCCTCCCTTAACACGTGGCGGGACCGCAGCCGCTACAGCCAGCAGTGGTGGGACCCAGGCTCCACCCGCGGCTACGCTTGGCTCGACGGCGAACCGGACAAAAAGGGCACCGGTCCGCTCCCTTACCGGGTTTCCTCGGACTGGACCCGGTTCAGGTTCTCCAGCTCGCAATCGGCGGTTCGGATCGCCCGTATCGTGTCGGAGAGCTTCAAACTCGGGTCCCACAACGTAAGGTGGTTCGTGATGGGGGACGATGATACGGTGTTCTTCGCGGATAATCTGATTTCGGTGTTGGCGAGTTATGATCACACTGGGATGTACTATATTGGCGGGAACTCCGAGAGCGTAGAGCAAGACGTGATGCACACGTACGACATGGCGTTTGGCGGCGGGGGTTTCGCCATCAGCTACCCTCTCGCGGCTCGGCTGGTCAACCTATTGGACGGCTGTCTTGATCGGTACTACACATTCTACGGCTCTGATCAGAAAATCTGGGCATGCCTCAGTGAGATAGGCGTGCCTCTCACTCTCCATCGTGGGTTCCACCAGGTACGTTTTTACGTGGCGCCTCTTCATAGGTTTGGATATTCTTGTTTCTTTTTTATTTATTTTTGTTATTCTGCGTTGCGTGGATGAGGTAAAGTGGTCAAAAAAGTTTAGGCCGGTCACCCGCCCGTCATTGATGGATGGTCTGTTGTGGATTTGGCTTTCGCCACGTGTTATGGTAGGTTTTTATAGTTCCGCTGGTGTTTTTCCGAGTGTTACCGACGGGGAATATTTGGTTGGCGACTGTGGGAAGAGGGAGTTTTGATGGGCGGCAATTGGCAAATGAATATTGGCTTAGCCAGTGAGAAAGTGGAAATGACTCTTATTTGACGTTTAGTTTGGGGATTCAAATTATGTGATTTGAATTATTTTCGATTTACGTGAATTTTTTGTGAGAGAAAATACTGTAACGAACCATGAATCATAATTCAAATCAGAAAATGAATCCATCTACCAAATATCCTCTTAGAATCCGTTTGGTACTTAGATTCGTTCCCTGATTCGAATCATGGTTCATGATTCGTTATAATATTTTTTCTCATAAAAAATACACGTAAATCAAAAATAATTCTAATCATATGGTTTGAATTCATGAACCAAACGCTACTTTAATTGTGGGACCCAAGAGATTTTTATCTTTAATTTTTTGGTTCCATGTGGTGGGTTGTAATTTTACTTGAATAGTTGTTAGATTATAGGTGTAGGTCTCGTTTATTTTACTGATTTAAATTTTTATTTTTAAATTTTTATAATTAAAAATTTTTAAAATATATCATATTTATTTTTTTTTGTTATAGTTGAAAATTTTTAAAAAATATCACATTTTAATTTGAATTGAAATTTTGAATTCGTAAAGTGAGACCACACCAGATTAATCTTGATAGCTCTGAAAGGAAGAGACATTTTAAATATGGATATTTGAATTCGAATTGAATTCTAGATCAGGAATGGAGAGATGGTGAATTTTTATCGTTGGAACTTAAAATGGTCTTTTTCAATTATAGGAGACCGGATTTTACTAAACTATAATTCTAAAAAAAAATGAACAAAGAAAAAAGATACTAGGATTGTAATGGAGAAGAACTATTAATAAATTGCCTCTTTAAGGTGCCAAAATGGTAAATGGGCACTTGGCAATCTCCTCGGACTCGTTAAAGATATTATGAGGGGAGAAAAAGACAACCAAAGAAAACGTGTTATTGGACCATTTGTAAACATGGAATTAAAGAAAGGAAAAAGTGAAAAAGGAGGAGCAATATGTTAAAGTTCGCCCGTGGTCTATTGGGACGTGGCGACATTTCATGGAGTTTGGGAGTCGTGTAATAGTTCTATGGTAATGTGGTTGGTTTTGTTCCTTTGTACCTGTTCATCCCCAAAATTCTTTTTGAGAAATTATTTTCATACGTACCGGAATGATGAGCTTGTTTGAGATAATTTATGTTTGTGTTTTTAAATAGTAAAAGAAAAAAAATATAAGTTGAGTCTTTTAATTAAGTTGTATTTAGTATGAGAGTTTAAATTAAGGTGATTTTAATTTTAAAATAAGAATCATGATTCATGATTTGAATTTGGAGTTCAAATCATGGTTTTAGAACCGGAATGAGAACTATGGATTTGAACAATTTAAAATCAATGGAGGATGTAGTTTTATTTTTTGAGATGGTTCTGGTTTAAAATATTACATTATGGTTCAAATATTAAATCAGAACTATCTAAATTAAACACTGATTTTTTAAAAATTATTTTTTATTTTTTACAAACAAACAAATGTTTGAACCAAAATAATAATTCTAGTTCTAGAACCCTCGTACCAAACGCAATATTAGTGTTTGGATAGTGCCTGAAAATGTGCTTTTGAACTTATTTGGGTAAGTACTAAAGACAAAGAGATGATTTGTTCCAAAAGTGTTTAAAAAAATCAAAAGTACTTTAAGGTTGGCTATACAAATAAGTTCAAAAGCGGCTTTTAGACTAAATAAGTCAAACGCAGCTTTTTTTAAGTTAATATAAACGGACCTGATATATTCCTCTATTGTTACACCCTATTAGTACCATATTAGAATAGGGATAACATTCTTATCTGTGAATATTTATCTCTAATAGAGTGGCTATAGGGGATATTGCATAGGAACCGGCAGGTACGGGGTGGGGTTTAGCTAACTCCCAAGTTGTTGGTTTGGTGGGGGTTTCTTTCGGTCCCGAACCCTGATTCGATTATATGTATTTTTATTACAAAATATAAGATATTGGTGTTTATGTATTTTAATCTTTTAGTTTGTTTTACAAATTTAATTTTTAGATCGTTGGAGTTTGAATTTTATTTTCGGTTTATTTTTTAAGACATTAGTGACTTTGTTGCTAAATTTTACAAGTAAAAATAATTTTGCTTTGAATTTAATAGTTTTATAAGAATTTTGTTAACCCTTATTGGGTAAGTGAGTAGGGTAATAATAACTCATCGAATTTTAAATTAGGTAAGTATAAAAGTGTGTACGGGAGCTAAAAAGAGAATAGGATAAGGGGGTGGGGAAAACATACCCACCTTTAACCCGCCGCATTGCCATCGCTAATTAGATTTACAAAACAAAATAATAAAATTTAGTAACAGTTTGATTGTATTTTATCTATAAAAAATTATATGGTAGGGTATTAAAACGATTATATCAATACAACACATTTATAAACTCTTTTTTTCTCTGAATACATTTTATAAACTTTTTGAGTTTCATCATGTTTCATTATAATAGTGTCATGTTTTCTTTTGAATTTCAACAAATTGCATTGAATTATCATATCTTCTTTAATTTGATGCAACCATTCCTATGATCTAAAAAAAAACCTATTTCCCATCAGGAAAGTATTTTTTCCCTAACAAAAATACCCACAAACACATAAATAATTGTGACACAAAATTCTATCTATAGAATTAAAAGTCATAAATAATTCTACCTTCCTCATAAACACACTACACAAGTTCTATTTATAAAATTGAACGTCATAAATAATTGTACCTTACTCATAAGCACATTATTTATATGTCCTACCATGTTGTCTAAACACACGCGCACACACACATTTTCCAACCCTATTCTCAAAAAAGAAATAAATAATTGTACCTTACTCAACACATTTTCTTTGATAGGCCGATTTATAGTAAGACATCTTTTTATTTGTTTCTAATTGTTAAATATGGTTAAAATTATATTAGATTAAAAAAATATAAAAAATAAACGGTTTTTGATATATATTTAATAATTAAAATGTAGAGAATTAAGGATATTTTTTCTCCCAGTTCTACTAGAAATTGTTTTTTAAAAATTTTCTTTTGCTAGAACAACCATGCTTTTCCAATAATAAATTCCAATGAGAACGAATGTAACACGTACTCACGTAGGTAACTTTTTTCAACCCCTCCCGTGGGGTCTACTTTTAGGACGAGAGGGTCCTACAAATTAAAGTGTGCTGTTCGTCTTTTTCTACTGAAACCACGAATTCTTTCTTTCGAGGGTCACCTTTGCTGCTAGAACCAAATAGGTTTGCTATGCACTCGTTATGAAGTACAAGCTGATAACGTTTGCTCATTAGGCCGAAAGCTTTCCTGTTTCCGCATGTACATACAAATGCAATTTAAACTTTCTTCCCTGTTCAAACTTACTTTTTAACTGTATAACTAAACGCGAGTTCCGATTGCAAGTCCAAACTACACTTTTCATACTTAAGTTCAAACACAAAATTATCACTCGTTAAAGGTTAAAAACATAGAAAAAATTGTCATTTTAGTATTACAGAGTTATAGAATTTCGACTTTTGTGTATGTTCATGATAAATTTTTGCATCATATGTATTACTGCGATTTTTAAATGACACACACAGTGTTTATAGCGTCAAGTGTCCACATAATTTCTGGGCAGTATATGAACATGTGTAGTTTGGCTGATTTACTGAATAACTAAATTGAAATTTAAAGGCGTAGATGATTGATTCGTTTGGCCTGTTGTAATTTATTCCAGTTAGATATCAGGGGAGATCCATATGGTATTCTAGCAGCTCATCCTTTGGCTCCACTAGTGTCCCTCCACCATCTTGACTACTTAAATCCAATGTTCCCGGAGATGAACCAAATAGACTCGGTGAAGACCCTAATGAGGGCGTATCGGGTTGACCCCAGACGTATTCTACAGCAATGTTTTTGCCACGACAAGAAGTGGAAATGGTCGATTTCTATAGCATGGGGCTACACCCTGCAGATTTACCCCTCCATCGTGGCAGCCAAGGATCTGCAGACTCCGCTCCAGACGTTCAAGACATGGCGGAGCTGGAGCAATGGGCCTTTCACGTTTAATACCCGGCCGGTGAACCCTGATCCGTGCCAGCAGCCGCTTGTTTATTTTATGGACCGGGTTGAGGAGGTTGGCGAGAGTGGAAGCTTGACTAGTTATGAGATGTTTCTGAACAAGGAGGGGATGAAATGCATCACAGAAGAGTATAAACAAGCAATGGAAGTGCGGAGAGTTGTGGTCTCCTCAATGAAGATGGATTATGATTATTGGAAGAAGGTGAGTTTTCTCCTACTCATGCAGAATGCTTAACATTTAGGGCCCATTTAGTTCATAGCTTCAAATAAGTGATTTTGATTCTAAATTAAAATTTTGTGAGAAAACCCATTGGCGAGATCGTTTTTAATTCAAATTTTTTTTTAAAAAAAATACTAAAGCAGAATTAGAATCATGGGTTTAAACGCGTAAACCAAACAGGCCCTTAGTAATAAAGAACAATTCTTGGTGACAATGGTCATAACAATATATTATATATGTTAGAATATTTCATAACAGATCAAATGCACATTGTATTACATGATAAAAATAATTTCTGATTTGGTTGTGATGATGAACAGGCTCCTGTTAGGCAGTGCTGTGAGATTATGGATCATGGGAGTGTAAAGAACGGCACCATGAGGATCAGAATCAGAAAATGCAGACCATGGGAATCTATAACTGTGAGTTGAAGGCGATATTTTCCTTCTATTTGCTAATTTCGGTAAATATTTCTCTTCTTGAAATTCACAAAGATGGCCTTCAAATATAGTGCTCCCATTTCGTATGAAGAATAATGTATATTCATCTCTAAAAAGTCTCCAAGAAGTAGTGTCAACCATTACTTTATAACATCAAAAGGTGCAAAAGCATTTATATGCGATTGAGGTTGCTTCCCCATACGAGATGTAATTGAGGAAAAGGAGAACGGAAAGGAGGAAAAGAAAGGGCAACTTTCATGTCGTCTTTAATATGTTTGAAATCACGCAGAACCATCTTCAAAACCATCTTCAAAAGTTTTAGGTTGAATGGTCAGATCAGAGTACTTTGTGTAATACCATCTCTTCTATACAGAGCAATTCTATTTATCATTTTTTGTCTATAGTTTTATGGTTTGTTTAGTTTACTGCTGTTTTCACTAGACATGCTCTGTTTCTATTTGAAATCTAAAAGGAAAATATGAGACCCACTTCAATTACTGATAGCCTGGAGAGAGAGAGTATCTAACTAAGACTAACCCAACCACCTATGCATATTGTCGAATTGTTAGATGTCCCTTGTATTAATATACAACACGTAACACAATGTTTCTGATTTACAGGATATGTCTAATACAAAAGAGAATTTCATGTTCTGATTTCACGGATACTTTTAAGTACATATCAACAATGGCTATAGCAGATTAAGGACCAACCTCATCTTATGTAAACTGCAGCCTGTTACAGGCGTATCACCGCGTACTCTTTATTGTAATTTGAACAAATACTCCGACCAATGAAAAACTAATTGCATAACAATGTCTCACGTGTCGCGTTACCTGTTGTTGGATTTATGCTGGTGCAAAAAAAAAAAAAAAAAGTGGATTCATCATAAATAAGAGCATATGTATTATTGCAGGGAACAATTGTAAAGCGAAAATTATCTCACCCATCCGCAACTTTACAAAGATATTCCCGCTGATCATCCCTCAATGGCACATCAGTGAAGTCTGACCACAGACAAAATAACCATATCAGCGAAAAAATGACTGACCAATACATGTCAAGATTTGCTAGAGATGATATCAAGAAACATGTTGTGATTGGTTGCCTGGGAAAAATGCTAGGCAATGTTGAAAAATCATGGGGCGTGACTCCCATCACTCACGTCGTGATGGGGCACACCAACGGGGCCCACGTTGGCTATTTAGTCTTGCTCGGAAATGTCAAGGCTTGAAGCAACTAAGAATCATGATATGAAAGTGTTATAATACATACCAGCTCCTGTTATGTCGGACCCCTTGAAAGATGTATTGCCTGTAGCAAGTGCGCCTTCCAAGTTGGCGTTGCTTAAATTTGCCTGCATAAAAAAGATGCATATGCAAATAAGGCTATTATACTCGCATATGCGGAAATTTGTCGTGAGGAGTAATTCTTGGAAAAATGACATGAAGAATTGATTATATATGTCGTCTGTCGTTTGGTCGTTCAGTAACTTACCAAAACGCATTGTAGTATTTAGAAGGACCTCTCATCTTGTGACACATGGAAGCAGCAATAGTCGGTGGAGAGAATTCTAGAATATGTACAGCTGTTCTCTTCTTTGGATTAGATCATCGAGACAGAAGTTCATCCTTTAGGGTTTTCAGAGAGAGAGTTCTAGAGAGAGAAACAAGTGAGAGAAACTGTGGAATATTGAGAGATCTGGGTACGTTTGTGTACTGGGAAAAATCTGGGTAAGGAGAGTGATTTACTCACTGGGTATTTTTTCCTGAGAGCCACGGTTGTGGTGGAGTCTCTGCTGTACAGTTTCCAGTTCTGGGTTGTTTCTTCTTTGTAATCTCTGAGAGTGGCGAGGATTGAGGGTGTAATCAATTCTTAACTAGTGGAAAGGGTTTCTCGCAAGTGAGCCCAACGGGGACGTAGGATTTGTTGAATCCGAACCTCGGTAAATTCTCTGTGTTCTTTCTTTAACGCATTCTTGTGTAAATCATTGAGCCTGTGTTAGGATCTTCCTAATAGTGGTATCGGAGCTTTGGTTTGAGGCGTAAATCAAAGGTGGGGGCTCGAAGATCAAGATTCAAGATTCTGAAGAAGTCATCGAAGATTCAAGGATGGTCTCGATGAAGTTTGAACTGGAAAAGTTTGACGGCTCGGGTGATTTTGGTTTATGGAGAAAGAAAATGAGAGCAATCTTGGTCCAACAGAAGGTCGCTAAAGCCCTCAGGGATATGAAGGATTTTTCTGGCACTGATGCAGAAAAGGAGGAGATGTAAGAAATCACATTCTCAACTATCATCCTCTATCTGGTCGACATTGTTCTCAGGCAAGTAAATGAAGAAAATACTGCTGCAAAGGTATGGTTAAAACTTGAGCAACTGTTCATGACCAAATCACTAACCAACAAAATCTATCTTAAAGAAAGCTTATTCAGTTTTAGGATGGATACTTTAAAGTCTCTTGAGAAGAACTTAGATGATTTTAATAAAATAGTTATTGATTTGGCCAATATTGGAGAAAAGATAGAGGAAGAAAACCAGGCGATTTTATTATTAATCTCTCTTCCAGAAACGTTTAAAGATGTTAAAAATGCCATTAAGTATGGAAGGGAGAGTCTTACTTTAGAGGATGTTCTGTCAGCTTTAAGGTCTAGAGAATTAGAACTTAAGTTTGAAATGTCCTCCAAGAAAGACAACCATGGAGATGAAGGGCTTTTTCCAGAGGCAGACTGCAAAGGAGAGATCAGAACAAGCCTGATAATAGACAGAGCTCAAGATCAAAATCAAAAAATGGTCAAAGGAAATGTTATCAATGTAATAAGCCGGGCCACATCAAGAGGTTCTGTAAAGAATGGAAAAGAAAATTGGCTGAAAAGAAGGCAGGTGAAGGTGATGACGCGGTTGCAAGCCAAGAAACAGGGTATGAAAGCTCAGAAATGTTGGCTGTTGGGCTAAGCCAAAATGAGAACGAATGGATACTGGACTCTGGGCGTACATACCATATGTGTCCCAAGAAAGAGTGGTTTACTAAGTATGAAGGCTATGATGGGGGCAGGGTCTTGATGGGAAACAACCATTCTTGTTCGGTGGTTGGAGTTGGTTCGGTTGTTGTGAAACTGTCAAATGGAACACAACATGTGCTCAAAAATGTCAGACATATCCCGGAGCTTAGAAGGAACCTTATTTCTCTTGGGGCACTAGATGATTCTAGATATGCTTACAAGGCAGAAGGTGGAATTTTAAAGGTTTTAAGAGGATCTCTAGTAGTACTTAAAGGTAGAAAACATCAGAGGCTATATGTACTAGAAGGGCATGCAGTAACAAGTTCAACCAGTGCAGTAATTAAAGAGAACTCAGAGGCTGACCTATGGCATAAACGCCTTAGGCATGTTAGTGAAAGGGGGCTAAAAGAACTCAGTAAACAAGGACTTTTGGGCAAATGCAAGGTAGATCAGCTTGACTTCTGCGAGCAGTGTGTCATAGGAAAGCAACACCGACTTAAGTTTGTTGCATCAACATTCAGGGCAAAGTCTCCATTGGACTATGTTCATGCTGACCTCTGGGGGCCAGAATCAACACAAACACACGGTAATGCCAGGTACTTTCTTTCTATTGTTGATGATCATTCTAGGAAGGTGTGGGGTTTTCTATTAAAAACCAAAGATGAATGTTTTACTAAGTTTAAGCATTGGAAAACTTTGGTAGAAAACCAAACTGGTAAGAAACTAAAGGCCCTTAGGACAGATAATGGCATGGAATTTTGTCATGATATCTTTACCGAGTTCTGTAAAGAAAATGGTATCCTTAGACATAGAACAGTCAAAAAGACTCCACAACAAAACGGGGTAGCCGAAAGAAACACTAATGGAACGTGTTAGGTGTATGCACTTTGGATCGGGTCTAAGTAAGAAATTCTGGGGGGAAGCTGTAACTACAACGTGCTACATAATTAATAGGAGCCCTTGTAAACCTATTGACCTTAAAACCCCTGAAGAATGTTGGATTGGAAAACCACCAAACCTAAGTAACCTTACGGTCTTTGGATGTGTTGTTTATGCACATCAAAGATAAGGGAAACTAGATCCCAGATCAATAAAATGCATATTTTTAGGCTATCTTGAGGGTGTTAAGGGTTATAGACTATGTGTTCAAGAAGGGTCCCATTTTAAAATAATTAATAGTCGAGATGTAATTTTTAATGAATATGACATGCCGTATTTGAAAAAGAGAACAGGATACTGGTGGCTCTTTCTCACTTGATGCAGGTACAACTTCAAGACAAGACCTCAAAGTTGAGGTGGAACAAATTAGGGAAACCAGACAACAAGATGATGAAGTTGAACCTGAAGAACCCCATCAAACCACTGGAGAGCCGCAAGCTGCCACAGATGAAAGCTTTTCTGAACACACACAATAACCTCCAGAAAGTGTGTCAGAATACATGCTGACTAGAGATAAAGAGAGGAGAACAATAAGACCACCAAAGAGATATGATGGTGGCAACTTGATTGCTTATACGCTGAATATGGCTGGAAAAATAGAATCAACATAACCCAAATCATATGAGGAAGCAGTCAACAACAAACATGCCAACAAATGGTTGGCGGCCATGAAGGGGGAGATGTTCTCTTTGATGAAAAATAATACATAGGTTCTAGTGGACAAGCCAAAGAAACAAAAGGCAATGGATTGCAAATGGATTTTTAAAATTAAGGAAGGAGCCACATCTCAAGAACCCAGGAGGTACAAGGCAAAGTTGGTTGCAAAAGGCTTCACTCAAGTTGAGAGGATTGATTACACTGAAGTCTTCTCTTCAGTTGTAAAATATAAGACCATAAGAACAATCCTCTCAGTGGTCACTTACAGAGACATGCATCTAGAGCAGATGGATGTAAAAACTGCTTTTCTACATGGCGACCTCATGGAGACAATCTACATGAATCAACCACCGGATTTTGAGGTAAAAGGTAGTGAACATAAAGTCTGTTTATTGAGAAAATCGCTATATGGGCTGAAACAATTCCCTAGACAATGGTATAAGCGATTTAATCAACACATGATTAAAGCAGGCTTTATTAGAAGTCAATATGACTCCTTATATTTTAAGGAGAAAATACTGACAATATAGTATATCTTCTACTTTATGTAGATGATATGTTGATTGCCAGTAAGAACTTAGCAAAAATTGATGAGGCCAAGAAAATGCTAAGTGCTGAATTTGATATGAAGGATTTAGGTTATGCAAAGAGAATTTTAGGAATTGATATCAAAAGAGACCGAAATCAGAAACTTTTGTATCTGTCTCAGGAAGAGTATTTAAGAAAAGTTGTTCAAAAATTCTCTATGCATCAATCTAAACCTGTTAAAGTACCCTTGGCTGGTCATTTTAAACTTTCTGCAAAACAGTATCCAGAAACAGAAGAAGAAAAGCTTAAAATGGCCAAGATTCCCTATTCTAGTGTTGCAGGGTCATTAATGTACGCCATGATTTGCACAAGACCTGATTTAGCTTATGCAGTAAGTGTTTTGTGCAAATACATGTCTAATTCTGGATAAGAACATTGGACAGCACTAAAATAAGTTTTGAAGTATGTCAATAGTACATTGAATTATGGTTTGATTTATAAACAAAGTTCTAACCCTTTGAACTTGGAAGGCTTTGTAGATTCTGATTTTGCAGGTGATCTAGACAGAAGGAGGTCTACTTCAGCTTATGTAATGACACTAGGAGGAAACTGCATTAGCTGGAAGTCACAACTACAATTCGTAGTTGCTTTATCAAGCACCGAAGCAGAATACCTAGCTGGAGCTGAAGGTTTTAAAGAAGCTATATGGCTTCAGGGTCTGTTAAAGGAGCTGAAGGTATTGAAAGGAGTTGCTGTGATTCATTCAGACAGTCAATCAACAATTCACCTCTGCAAGAATCCAGTGTATCATGAAAAGACAAAGCACATTGATGTACGGCACCACTTCATAAGGAAAAAGGTTGAAGAAGGGTCAATAGAGCTTGAAAAGATCAACACAGAAGAAAATCCATCAGATATGGCTACTAAGGTTGTCACTGCAAGCAAGTTCCAGAAGTGTCTGGACTTGCTGAGCATTGGCAAGACTTGATCATATAAAGTCAGGGCAATGAACTTTGCGATAAGAGGAAATGAACTTTGCATGAACTTTGCATGCACAAACAACGAGGAAGGTTTCGAACTTTGCAGAAGCTTATCATGGAAATTAAATGTTTGGTTCATGAATTCAGAACTATAATTCATGATTCTGATTTTTAAAATTTAAATTTTTCGTGAGAAAAAAATACTATAGAGAACCAAAAACTATAATTCAGAATCATAGATGAACTCTTAAAACAAACGTCGTAACGTTCAAAACGTATTCTTCAAACTCACCTTTGTTACATTGGCCAAAGAAAAGTCTGCACCTCTTAGATCAGCATCCGAAAGATCAGCCCCTATAAAATTAGTGGCAAAAATCACTTGGATATGTTTTGATTGTTTCAATCACATAACATCTTAAGTTAGTAATATGTTTTGCTAATGAAAAAACATTAAAAAAACAAAAGAATGCATAAAAAAGAGCAAATAATTTAAATTACCTGTAAGATCAGCATCAAAGAAGCTAGCGCCAAGTAATTTGGCGCCTTTGAACTTGGCTTGCCGCAAAATCGACTGTACCAGAAAGTAACACAAGAATCAATATCAACTCTTGAAAAAAAAATTCTAAGAAATTTGGGGGCAAAAGAAGAAAAATTTAATTGGTTCGAACCGTTTTGAAGTCTTGCTTGATCAATGTCTTTCCACTAAAGTCCTTCCCGGTGAGATCCTGTCCCCTAGTCACCTCTTGCCCGTACGGACCTCCACCCTTCCACATTGCCAAAATCAATCAAACATTTCTTCTTTCTTTCTTTCTTGTTTTATTTTCCTTCCGTTTCTCAGCAACCAAACAAGGAGTCATGTAGGAAAAATTTTACCTTAAAGGCGAGCGCGGGATCGGCGACCAAAAGAGAAGCGGAGAGCAGCGCGAGCAAGCTGGCCTTCGATGCCGATTCGCGCAGAGACGAAAGCAGACTACTCTGAGAAGCTTCGAGACGATTCTTCGTCGACAAGGACGGGAGAGAGATGGGAGAAGAGAGACGGGGTTTTGTTGTGAGATTGGAAGAGAATAAGGAAACGTTGTGAAGAGCCATTTGCCAAATTGCAAGCTTTTTCTCTGTTTTGGTTTTTGCAGTGGGTGTTTTTGTTTTGGCTCCCTGACGTCCTGGATAACGATTAACGGGCGTAATCTGGAAATGGATAAAGAAAGGAATCTTTGTGTCTACTTGCTTACACCTATAAGTGGAATGAAAATTTAGAATATGAGGAAAAAAAAAAAGTGCGTTCATATATAATAAACAAAGGGGAATTTCCCGTAGGATTAGGACATGTCCTCTTTAACAATTTTTAGGAACTTTTATTTAAAAGTTGGATTAAACTTTTTATAACCTGATTGCGAAAAGAGCAGTTTTATATTGCTCTAAATTTTTAGCGTAAACATTCATAAATTTATAGTATGCGATATATAACAATTGTAATAATAAATTAATAAATTACTATTGTAAAAGTTTCGTGATTTTTTTTATTTTAAGAATAGATAATTTAAATAAATATCTATATATGTGTACGTATGTTTTTTTTTTCATTTCTATGCAACTGTTTTGTAGAAGAAATGAAAAAATATATATGCATATATATATATATTTTGAAACTATCTCTTTTAGTTTTTCGATTCAAGTTTTTAATTTCAATTTGTTACAGTAAAAAACTATCACAAAAAATCACATTTCAATTCGAATTAAAAACTTAAATCAAAGAACTGAAAGAGAATTAATTCTCAACTTCTCATTTTTTGAATATGTGGCTCTCCGCTCTTGATAATTAGGGGGTGAAGCTATATTATGTTATTCACTTGTTTTGACTATTGCATAATTTTCTAACAACGTCAAATCTTATCATAATTAAATTATACCTTAATTTGATGAATTTTACTTAAAAAGTAATGATTCAGAATTACATTCATTAATTAGATATTTTTACAGCCTAAAAAAAATATTCTCCTTGTTTTTATGCTCAAAATGTTTTTTTTTAATAAATTGCTCAATTGTTTATCGTGCGTGATTAATGACACCCGTAATTTGTTTTTTTTTTTTTTTCGTGAGTGATGTATTTTGGTTGTGTTGAAACTATTTTTGTTGTGAAAAATACACTCCTTAATTTACGTTTTATTTTTTATTTGTTTACCAATCACATTGCAGTCTTAGAGGTAGAAATTTCACCATTCATGTTTTTTAATATTTTTTCCTGTTAACTAAATTCCGGCAAAATATTTCAATTGTCTCTAAACACCAATGATGGAATAGATTATATCTTGACGCACTTATATTTTAATTTTATTCAGTTTAATCAATTCAATAGGAATACTTGATTAGCAAAAAAAAAAAAAAAAATTATAAGAAAAAAAAAAGCAATAGAAATCCAGAATTTGAACCTAAGTATTGTAAGTTTTTTTATTTTTTATTTTTTATTTTATTTTTACTACGTAGACAACCTTGACTTGTTCGCTGAAATAAACGAGGCCTACGCAACTCCAAAATTTTTTTGGTAATTGCTGATAGAACACTAGTATTTCATGATAGTCCTTATAGCTTTGTAATTTCAATTTTCTTTTCTTCTCTTTTATTTTTTGACATTTTGCAATTGGGCCATTTCTGGCAAATTCCTCGAACTTTGGGGACTAGCTAACTGGAAAAGACTCCCAGCTAGCTACGCCCAGTCGCCCAGCTTTCTTCTTGTTCTTCTTCTTCTCGATCGCCGGCCAGAGCCTAGGGTTCCGACCCCCATTTTTCCAATCTGAGGTGCGCTTCACTCTAAGATTTTCATTTTCCTCGTTTTCTCTGAATTCACAGATTCTGTATCTCGTAATGTTCTTTCTTTACTTCAATTACACTTCCAAGATATTATTTTTTTCTTGCCAAAACCGTTCTTCTTAATTCCAGTTTTTCTCCCCTTTGTATGTTTGGGATTACGTTCTTCGGAGCTGTTTTTTTATTTGTTATTCTTCGACATTTTCTTTTTTCGAAAGATCCGCGCACAGTGATCCGTCGGTTTTCTTCGCTCATTGACTACGATCTTGCTTGAATTGATGTCTCGAAAAATTGGGATTGCATTGTTGAGTCAGATCTGCATGTATTTAGGTTTTGTTAAATTGTGTGTTTCAATTTTGGTCGGTGTAAAATAATTTCTTATTGTTGCTTTCAACTTATTTGTAGCTTTTAGTGATGGGTTAAATCCTGGTTTGGTTTATTAGAGAAGAGTACATTAAAAGAGGCAAAAGCTTTAAACTATAATTTAGTTTATGTGCCAACTTTAGAGGGCTTTTAATGGTTTAATGAAATGAGATTCCGTTAGTGGAGTTTTATGTTTTTATGAACACTCAAGGTACAGGAGATTTTGTTGCGTTCTGGGTTGCTCAAGTTGGTTCAGAAGTACGACTGACGATGAATGAAAGATTTCTATATTAGGCATTTAAGTTATTAGTTTGGCGCTCATTGATAATACCTCCGAGTTGGGAAGAACTGATTATACGAAGAAATGAGTTATTTGATTGACTGTGGAGAGACAGCGAGGATAGGCGCTGGTTGTGGCACGGTGATGGCGGTAATGGAGTTGCATTGTTATGCTGCTTCTGGATTGTTTTAGCTTTTTTTTTTTTTTTTCGGTTGAATTCCCACATGAAGGTTATATCACGAGCATTGATAATTTGTTAGTGTGAACCGAGTTGTGTATGTCTAAGTGTGTGCGTGTCAACCATGCATGTAAGGGTTTTTGGGAAAGAGGAGAAGAACGTTTGCATTAGCTGCATTGTAAGCATCATGCATGTATCAAGTATGAATGAGTTTCATAACTGAATATATATTCCTGCATTCCTATTATCAATTTGTGTAGTTCCCAAGCATCGCTTGGATAGGTTATGAAAAGATTTGGATGAACTTTCTCTGTTATATTTTTTGCACTTCATCAACTTATTCAGTATGATTTGCTAAACATACGCATTCTCATTTTTTTATATGGTGAAGGTGTCCGTAGGAGTTTGTTACTAAAGGTAGAACTTGGCTTCAAGTTCTATCTTAAGAATATTGTTCAAAGATGGGGCGTCTGAAGTTGCAGTCTGGAATTAAGGCAATTGAAGAGGAGCCTGAGGACTGTGACAGCTACTCTAATAAAGCTACTTTAGCATGCATGATTAACTCAGAAATCGGAGCTGTATTAGCAGTTATGAGGAGAAATGTAAGATGGGGTGGGCGATATATGTCTGGTGACGATCAGCTGGAACACTCCCTAATTCAGTCTTTGAAGGTGTTACGCAAGCAGATTTTTACATGGCAGCATCACTGGCATACCATCAACCCTGCTGTGTATCTTCAACCATTTCTGGATGTGATTCGATCAGACGAAACTGGTGCTCCAATCACTGGTGTTGCTTTATCGTCCGTTTACAAGATCTTAACACTTGATGTTATTGATCAAAATACTGTAAATGTTGAAGATGCAATGCACTTGTTAGTTGACGCTGTCACTAGCTGCAGATTTGAGGTGACTGATCCATCTTCAGAAGAGGTAGTTCTAATGAAGATACTACAAGTTCTTTTGGCATGCATGAAGAGTAAAGCATCTGTGATGCTGAGTAATCAAGATGTTTGCACTATAGTGAATACATGTTTCCGTATAGTCCACCAAGCAGGGTCAAAAGGTGAGTTATTGCAACGGATGGCTCGGCACACCATGCATGAACTTGTTAGGTGTATTTTCTCACACCTTCCTGACGTTGGCAACTCAGAAAGTGCGTTGGTAAATGGAATTGATACTATCAATCGAGAGGTATAGATGACTGTTCCTGTCCTCTTCTTCCTTTTTTTTTTCCCCTTGAATATTTCCTTTCTCTGTGTTCTGTATTAGTTGTTGCGACGTGAAAGGAAAATAAAAAACAATTTATTGAAAAAAGAAAAGATTAAGAACAATGGTATTAGTTGTAGTAAAGACTGGTTGAAATATGCCTTAAAAGCTAAAACTACCAGCAATATATATTGTTATAATTATTCGTTTCCCATACTAGCTTTGGCACAGTTAAAGTTTTCCTTTAAAAAACTTAAGTTCTCCGTCCTTTATTATCACTCTTTTGTGACTGAGAAGCAGGGTATATAAAACACTGTATCCATCTTCTATCAATTTGTTGGTCTTTTTACTTTTCTTTCTTGGCTATGAGGATTGTGGAAAAGGTCCTTGGTAAAAATATATCCCAATTTTATATGCTGGGGCAGATTCCTTGAATTGCTTTAGGTTTACTCTACTTAGTATAAGTAAATGAAAAAAATGTGCCACTTTGTTTTTTTCTACCTTCATGGAGAGAAAAGTTATGTTCTAAAATGTTAGCAAAAGGGGCCAGTTTTATATGCTAGAGATTGGACGTTATTTTTTCCTTAGACTTGAAAACAATCTGTGTACAAATACATACATGCATACATATATAATTGTAATTTGTCTGAGTGTTTACGTTTGAAATTTTCTTGATAGTTTTCACTGTTGTTTCCTGTACAGAGCTCTGGTTTGAACAATGAATATGCATTTGGAAGTAGGCAATTGGAGAATGGTAACACAACATCTGACTATGATGGTCAAGCACTATCCACAAATCTTACGTCCAATGCTTCTGTAGGTCCAGGAGGAATGGATGAAGATGCAATTGGAACTGGGAAGGATACTGTTCCATATGACCTGCGTCTGATGACTGAGCCATACGGAGTACCCTGCATGGTGGAAATATTTCACTTCTTGTGCTCTTTGCTAAATGTTGTTGAGCAGGTGGGAATGGGTCCCAAATCAAATACGATAGCATTTGATGAAGACGTGCCTCTTTTTGCCTTGGGTTTGATTAATTCTGCTATAGAGTTGGGTGGTCCCTCCATTCGCTATCACCCTAGATTATTAAGTTTAATTCAGGATGAATTGTTTCGGAATCTGATGCAGTTTGGTCTGTCAATGAGTCCGCTTATTCTTTCTATGGTATGCAGCATTGTTCTTAATCTGTACCATCATCTGCGCACCGAACTAAAATTACAGCTTGAGGCTTTCTTTTCTTGTGTGATTTTGAGGCTCTCACAAAGCAGATATGGTGCATCTTACCAGCAACAGGAGGTAGCTATGGAGGCTCTTGTTGACTTCTGCCGGCAAAAAACATTTATGGTGGAGATGTATGCTAACTTAGATTGTGACATTACTTGCAGTAACGTCTTTGAAGACCTTGCTAATCTATTGTCGAAGAGTGCTTTTCCTGTTAATTGCCCCTTATCATCAATGCACATTCTTGCTTTGGATGGTCTTATTGCTGTTATTCAGGGAATGGCTGAGAGGGTAGGGAATGGTTCGGTTGGTTCAGAGCATACTCCAGTGACTCTTGATGAATATACTCCATTCTGGATGGTGAAGTGTGATAACTATAGTGATCCTAGTTATTGGGTTCCATTTGTTCGCCGTAGGAAATACATCAAGAGAAGATTGATGATTGGAGCTGATCACTTTAATCGTGATCCAAAGAAAGGGCTAGAATTCCTCCAAGGAACACATCTCTTGCCTGACAAACTTGATCCTCAAAGTGTGGCCTGCTTTTTTAGGTACACTGCTGGATTGGATAAGAATCTAGTAGGGGATTTTCTGGGGAATCACGATGAGTTTTGTGTTCAGGTTCTTCATGAATTTGCTGGTACTTTTGATTTCCAAGACATGCATTTGGACACTGCATTGAGACTGTTTTTGGAAACATTTAGACTGCCCGGGGAGTCTCAAAAGATACAAAGAGTGCTTGAGGCATTTTCAGAAAGATACTATGAGCAGTCACCAGAAATTCTAGCAAACAAGGATGCCGCTCTCTTGTTATCATACTCGCTCATCATGCTTAACACAGATCAGCACAATGTACAGGTGAAGAAAAAGATGACAGAAGAGGACTTCATCCGTAATAATCGGCACATAAATGGAGGCAATGACCTGCCTCGAGAATTCCTCTCAGAGCTCTATCACTCAATATGCAAGAATGAGATTCGCACAACCCCTGAACAAGGTGCTGGTTTTCCTGAAATGACACCAAGCCGATGGATCGATCTAATGCACAAATCAAGGAAAGCTGCTCCATTCATAGTATCAGATTCTAGAGCCTACCTTGACCATGATATGTTTGCTATAATGTCCGGACCAACAATTGCTGCTATTTCTGTGGTATTTGATCATGCAGAGCACGAAGAGGTTTACCAAACATGCATTGATGGATTCCTAGCCGTTGCAAAGATCTCAGCGTGCCATCATCTTGAAGACGTACTTGATGATCTTGTTGTGTCTTTGTGTAAGTTCACAACATTGCTGAACCCTTCATCTGTTGAGGAGCCAGTGCTGGCATTTGGTGATGACACGAAAGCTAGAATGGCAACTGTGACCGTCTTCACTATTGCCAACAGGTATGGGGATTACATTCGCACAGGTTGGAGAAATATTCTGGACTGCATCCTACGGTTGCACAAACTTGGTCTTCTTCCAGCCCGTGTGGCTAGTGATGCAGCTGATGAGTCAGAGCTCTCTGCTGACACTGGGCATGGGAAACCTCTTACAAATTCTCTATCTTCTGCTCATATGCCCCCCATGGGTACTCCTAGGCGATCCTCGGGATTGATGGGCCGATTTAGTCAGTTATTATCCCTTGACACGGAGGAGCCAAGGTCACAACCTACTGAGCAACAACTAGCTGCTCATCAGCGCACCCTTCAGACAATTCAGAAGTGCCACATTGACAGCATATTTACTGAGAGCAAGTTTCTGCAAGCTGACTCTTTATTACAGCTTGCAAAGGCACTCATATGGGCGGCTGGGCGGCCTCAGAAAGTGGGCAGCTCTCCCGAGGATGAAGACACTGCAGTTTTCTGCCTGGAGTTGCTAATTGCAATTACTCTGAATAATAGGGACAGGATCGTGCTTCTTTGGCAGGGTGTCTATGAGCACATAGCCGGCATTGTTCAGTCAACTGTCATGCCATGTGCCCTGGTGGATAAGGCTGTTTTTGGGCTCCTCCGTATTTGTCAGCGGCTGCTTCCTTACAAAGAGAATCTTGCCGATGAACTTTTGAGGTCATTGCAACTAGTTCTAAAACTCGATGCCCGGGTTGCTGATGCATACTGTGAACAAATTACTCAGGAAGTCAGTCGCCTAGTTAAAGCAAATGCCCCTCACATCAGATCACAATTAGGATGGCGCACCATTACATCCCTACTTTCTCACACTGCTCGACATCCAGATGCCTCAGAGGCTGGATTTGATGCGTTATTGTTTATTATGTCTGATGGGGCTCACTTGTTGCCAGCCAACTACGTTCTATGTGTGGATGCATCAAGGCAGTTTGCAGAGTCACGTGTTGGACAGGCAGAGCGTTCAGTTCGTGCACTGGATCTAATGACGGGTTCTGTTGATTGTCTTGCGCGTTGGGCCTCCGAGGCTAAGGAAGCAATGGGAGAGGAGGAGGCTGTGAGGATGTCTCAGGATATTGGGGAAATGTGGTTGCGACTTGTTCAGGGATTAAGAAAAGTTTGTTTGGACCAGAGAGAAGAGGTTAGGAATCACGCTTTGTTGTCGTTGCAAAAGTGCTTGACAACAGGAGTGGATGGGATACATCTTCCTCATGGACTGTGGTTAGAGTGCTTTGATATGGTGATCTTCACGATGCTCGACGACTTGCTTGAAATTGCTCAAGGGCACTCTCAAAAAGACTATCGGAATATGGAAGGCACACTAATACTTGCCATGAAGCTCCTCCCAAAGGTGTTTCTCCAGTTGCTTCCGGACTTATCTCAGTTAACAACCTTCTGCAAATTATGGCTCGGTGTTCTCAGCCGAATGGAAAAGTATATAAAGGTGAAAGTTAGAGGTAAGAAGAGCGAGAAGCTTCAGGAGCTCGTTCCAGAGCTGCTTAAGAACACTTTGCTTGTCATGAAGACAAGGGGAGTGCTTGTGCAGAGAAGCGCGTTAGGCGGAGACAGCTTGTGGGAGCTGACATGGTTACATGTGAATAACATTGCCCCATCCTTGCAAGCTGAGGTTTTCCCTGATCAAAGTTTAGAAGAGCCATCACACGGTGACGAAGTAGGAGGAGATTTAGTACCTGATGAAACAGACCGAGTACCTTCAGCCAATACTACATCGCCTGAAGGTCCTGCCGGTGGAGGTTTGGATGTTGTATAATATTATAATTGGTGATTTTGAAGTACTGGTCTTGTTAATGCGTGTCCATAACCAAACGTGATCGAGAGAATTGAGTTATTAGTTTTTGAGGTAGCCCACTTGTTCACTCCACAAGTTTACAAAAGGCTTATTCATACATATTTTTTCCCCTTTGCTTGGAGGCTTATTGACACCGTTATAGCAGTTAAAAGTATGAGTACTGGCGTTTATATATGGCATACAAATTGAATTCCACCTAATTAATGGACAACCATGCGATGGACCAATAACAGCAAGGAAACACAAGAGTATATCTTCTCTTCTCTGGCAGCAATTATAAATTTAGAGAATTTGAAACACTTTTTTTAAAAAAAATAAAAAATAAAAAAGCTTGTAGGAAATTACAATTATTTGCATTGAGAAACCTGCCTTAAAGTAGAAATGGATTGGGACACTCTGTACCATTTTCCTGAAATGTTTTCTTTTAATTTAACATTAATCCATAAACTTGTGGAAACCGTAGGTTTTAGAATACCTAGCCGTCTATCTCACTTGTATTTCATCAGAGGTAATCAGCCTCTTTTATATACAATTAGGTTACAATTAGTTAGAGAAAGAATAGGAAACTAACTCCTAATTTACAGCTAGCTACAAATCAGTAACTAATCTACCATAAAGGGATTACATATATTTCCAAAAATATTATTTCCTAAACTGTAGGGAATAAACACGCTTTTCAACACTCCCCCTCAAGTTAGATCATGGATGTCAATCATGTCCAACTTGGATAGATGTTCCTCGAACCTGACTCGTGGTAGACCTCTTATCAGAAAATCAGCAAGTTGTCCTTTGGATGTGATGTAAGGTATGCACACAACCCCTTCTTCAACCTTCTCTTTGATAAAATGTCTATCCACTTCCACATGCTTAGTACGATCATGGTGGATTGGATTGTGAGCAATACTGATTGCTGACTTGTTGTCACAATACAGCAACATGAGATTCTCACTTTGAAGTGATAGCTCATTCATAATTCTTTTTAATCATAGAAGTTCACATATTCCTTGTGCAAGAGCTCAAAGTTCAGCTTCAGCACTACTCCTTGCAACCACTGGTTGTTTCTTGCTCTTCCAGGTCACTAGATTACCCCATATAAATGTGCAGTACTCAGTGGTAGACCTTCTATCACTAGCTGATCCAGCCCAATCTGTGTCAGTAAATGCCTCGATCTTCCTTGAATCATTCTTTTTGAAAAATAACCCCTTTCCTAGAGTTCCTTTGAGGTATCTCAAAATGCAATGAACTGCTCCAAGATGTTCTTCATATGGCTCGTGCATAAATTGGCTGACTACACTTACAACATAGGCAATATCGGGCCGTGTATGGGATAGATAGATTAGACGCGCAACCAACCTCTGGTATCTCCTTTTATCGACGGGCACCTCTCCTTTCTTATATCCCAGCTTGTGGTTCTCTTCGATAGGTGTATCTGCTGGTTTACTTCCCAGAAAACCTGTCTCTCTGAGCAAATCAACAGTATATTTTCTTTTTGAAACACAAATTCCTTTCTTTGATCTTGCAACTTCCATACCGAGAAAATACCTCATAGGTCCAAGGTCCTTGATTTCAAATTCTTTGGCTAGAATCTACTTCATTCTTTCTCCTTCGGTTGTGTCATCTCCAGTAAGAAGAATATCATCAACATACACAATTAGAACTGAAATTTTCCCATCCTGAGATTTCCTGAAGAACAAAGTATGATCAGTGTTAGCTTGAGTGTATCCATATCTCTTCACTGTTTTTGAAAAACGATCAAACCATGTCCTTGGAGACTGTTTTAATCCATAGAGGGATTTTTTCAGTCTACACACATTATCTACACCATAAACATCTTTAAAACCTGGAGGAACATCCATAAATACTTCTTCTGCCAAATCCCCATTTAGGAATGCATTTTTGATGTCAAGTTGGGAAATTTTCCAGTCTAAGTTTGCGGCAACAGAGAGAAGAACTCGAATAGTGTTGAGCTTTGCCACCGGGGCAAAGGTTTCTTGATAGTCTCTTCCGTAGGATTGTGTGAATCCTTTTGCGACCAAGCGAGCCTTAAATCTTTCAATAGAACCATCCGAATTATACTTCATCGCAAACACCCACTTGCACCCAACTGTTTTCTTTCCCTTCGGTATTGCTACACACTCCCAAGTTCCATTTTTCTCTAGTGCTTTGATCTCCTCCATAACTGCTGCTCTCCATTCTGGAACACTCAATGCCTCTTGAACTAACTTAGGAATTACTACATCGGACAGATTAGTGGCAAAAGCTCGATAGGATGGAGACAAATTACTATAGCACATATAGTCTGAAATAGGATGAGAAGTGCATGTTCTTTTTCCTTTTCTTAGGGCAATAGGAATATCTAAGTCCTGAGCTGGTGTAGAATTACCTGGACTTTGGCAGGGAGCATGATTCGCAGGAGGGTTTAGACTTGAAGTATCAAGAACCGGTGGATCCAATGACTGGTTCTGCTTTGGAGTGTGAATTCCTTCATTTCCTTTCCTTTTTCGTCTCTCAGAGACAAACAATTCTGGTCTTTGGACCTCTTTCTCAGTTTCTTTAGTGAGTGGAGTGGACTCAGGTAGCACAACAGTGGGAAGAGAGTGATCTGGTGAAGGAATGGAAACGGTTTGAGGAATGGAAACAGTTTGTGGATTAGGGCTCACAGAGGTAGGAAGAGTATCCCAAAAATTCCAAAAATTCCAAAAACTCTCTTCTGTGTTCACACTCTCCCCCTGAAGTGAGTTTTTGGTAAAGTATGGCTGATTCTCAAAGAAGGAAACATCCATACTAACAAACATTTTCCTAGTCTTTGGATCAAAACACTTATAATCTTTTTTTGTTGGTGAGTAGCCTAAGAAAACACATTTGATGGTCCTTGGATCAAATTTACCCTTGCTATGAGAATGGATATGGACAAATGAGGTGCACCCGAATGTTCTAAGTGGTAAATCTGAAATCAGACAATTTGTTGGATAGACACTTTGAAACGCTTCTAGAGGAGTTTTGAACCCTGGAACTCGAGTAGGCATTCTATTGATGAGGAATGAAAGTTTTAGGCACATTTGTGGTGAACATTAAGGACCTAGCAACTTCAAGTAGGTGCTTATTTTTTCGTTCAGTCAACCTATTTTGTTAAGGGGTATCTACACAACTGCTTTGATGAACAATTCCCTCACTTTGAAGAAATTTCCCAAGAACAATTTTAAAATACTCTCCCCCATTGTCTGTCCTGAGGATTTGAATTTGGGTTTGAAACTGAGTTTTGACCATCGAATGAAAATTTTTAAAAACTCGTTTTGTTTCGGACTTTGTTTTTAAGAGATATACCCAACATAGCCTAGTATGATCATCGATGAAAGTAATAAACCACCTAGCGCCTGAAAAATTTTTAACTCGTGAGGGATCCCATATGTCACTGTGTATTACTGAGAATGGTGCTGAATGTTTGTATGATTAAGATGGAAATGATACACGGTGATGTTTGGAGAGTTGACAAATTTCACATTGAAAAGAAGTGGGGTCTTTATTATTGAAAAGAGATGGAAACAAATTTTTCAGATACGGAAAGCTAGGGTGGCCGAGTCTATAGTGCCACAACATAACATTATTTTCACATAAAGAAACAGAAAAGGATCTGCTGACTAAATTTTGTCTACTTGAGTCTTCCTTGTCTAGGTAATAAAGTCCACACTTTTTAGCATTACCAATCATCTTCCCCAAAGCCAGTTCCTGAAATTGACATGAAGAAGAGCTAAACTTAGCAACACAGTTTTGATCGTGGGTGAGTTTGCTAATGGATAAATGGTTGCATGAAATAGAAGGAACATGAAGTACAGACTTTAGGACCATATTTTTAGACAAAATTAATGAACCTTTCCTTGCTACTGTGGCTAATGAACCATCTGCAATTTTTACTTTCAAGTTACCGGCACAAGGAGTATAAAAGGAGAAGAGTGAGGAACAACCTGTCATATGATCTGAGGCACCAAAATCTATAACCCATGGGGTTCTGTCCTTGGTTAGCACACTGAAGGACTGGGGAAAATTACCTTTCTGGGTAATAGAGGCAGATGGAAGAGAGGTGGAATTCAAGAGTTTCATAAGGTTTACCAGTTGCTCCTTATTAAAGGAAACGGGAGCACTCTCTGATTTTGATTCCTCAGAGGCCGTTTGAAAAGCTCTGCTAGTCCCTTGCTCTAGTTGTCCATTTTTCAGATGAGGGGGTTTTCCGTGCAGTTTCCAACAAGTTTCACGGGTGTGTCCAGTTTTCTTACAATGGTCGCACACAGGTCTATTTCCCTTCTTATTTTGGGAGTCAATCCCGCCATTAGGAAAGGTGGAGAACCTGTCGCCATTAGAAAAGTTGGAGGAGAACCTGTTGCTTCTGACTGCAAGGGCTGATGATTCTGACTCAGTGACAAGAGCCTCTCGGATTTCTTTTCCCAGCATAACACTCATTCTGCTTTCCTCCCTGCGGACTTCGGAGAATACTTCACGAGTGGATGGTAGACTTCACGTCCAAGAATTCTTCCACGAACCTCATCAAGCTCGTTGTTCAAGCCAGCCAAGAATGCAAAGCCACGATCCTTCTCAATCATCTTTTTGAATATGGCACTGTCTTGTGGACAGTGCCATTCATATTCATAAAATAAAGCTAGCTCCTGCCATAAGGTTCTGAGCGTATTATAGTATTGCAACACGCTCAGATCGCCTTATTTCATGTTGCGGATGCGTGTGGTAATTTCATAGACCTGGGCAAAATTTCCCAGATCAGAAAAAGTCTCCTTTATAGCTTCCCAGATTTATTGAGCAGTGGCAATGAACATATACGTCTTGCTGATTGCTGGCTCTATCGAATTGATCAGCCATGACATGATCAATGCATTCTCAGATTCCCAGATCTCAATGGATTTGAGACCTTCTTTTGGTTTCTATGTAGCTCCCGTCAGAAACCCAGTTTTTCCACGACCCCGGATGACTAACATTACTGACAATTTTTCTCCATCGAGTTTGTGAGTGGTGATTGGTTGAGAAGAGAGATTGTCATGAGTATTTGACAAGAGAGAGGATCTCGAAGATGATTTCGCCGATCCAGAATCGAGCGACTGATCACCTACGCTGGATGTGCCAGACATGGTGGCAGTTTGATTTTTTCGGTGATCAGATGTTTGGCTCTGATACCATGTGGAAACCAGTAGGTTTTAGAATACCTAGCCGTCTATCTCACTTGTATTTCATCAGTGGTAATCGGCCTCTTTTATATACAATTAGGTTACAATTAGTTAGAGAAAGAATAGGAAACTAACTCCTAATTTACAGCTAGCTACAAATCAACAACTAATCTACCATAAAGGGATTACATATATTTCTGAAAATATTATTTCTTAAACTGTAGGGAATAAACACGCTTTTCAACAAAACTACATATTTGTTCAATTGGTTATCAAAATTATAAATAAGATTTTATGTTATCCAAATTATAAATAGGAATTTATGTTAAGTTTATGTGCTTAAATGTTCAATTCTAAAATCTAGGGACTATAATTAAGAGGAAAGGGAGACAAATATCTCTTAGATTGCATGAGTCTTTAATTTTACCTTTTATTTTTGTTTAATACTCTTTTAATTAAATTCTATATTAGTAAAAAAGATATTAATCGAGATACGAAGAAAAATCTAAATCTACGCACTTTAAAAGTAAGTTTTCTAATTTTCTCAAATTTAAAAGCCACAAGTGTGCTAAAATCTAACTCAAAGTTCCCCTTTTCAAAGAAAAAAAAATCTTACTCAAAGCAGACAAAGCTTCCATATTATGCAATTTTTTTAAGGAAATTTCTTTGGCATTCCTTATTTTTTGAGAATATTGGTGTTATTTACTTATCAGTCGTCTGATTTGTATTACTTTTTATCTAATTTGATTTTTGACCATATTTACTATAGATCCAACGAACGACTGATAAATAAAGAATATCAGTGTTTTAAAAAAAAAAAAAAAAGACTACACCAGAGAAAAGTCTCATTTTTTTAATTCATTATTATTATTATTATTATTTGATAATTAATCTATTATCCTTATTGTTATTACCATGGTAATATAATTATTAGTTCCTCCTTCATATTCCATATAGTAATTATCAGTCTTAAAAAAAAAAAAAATAGAAAAGCAAAAACGTGGAGGGAATAGCAAACGGTTCCGATCGCATCCGAGCGAACGCGATGAAGCTTTGCTGACTCTGCTCTCGGCAGTTACGCCCGGCCTCTTCTTCATCTCTGCGCAGAGGCTAGGGTTTCTTCGTCCCTCTCTCTCTCTCCACTTTTCCAATCTGAGGTGCGTGTACACCATTGTTAGATTTACATTTCTCGCTTTCTCTGTATTCCACAGCTTCTGCGATTCGGAATGTCCCGTCTTCAATTAGATTACGATTTTGGTGTTTTCTGAATTTTGTCCTAATCGTTTGCCTTTCAAATCAAATTGATCGGTTTTTGCTTTGCCTGTGCTGAATTCAATTCAGAGTTGCGGGATCTATACTATAATTCTCCTACATTTTCTTTTTCTTTAAGAAATAGTGGTCCGTCGTGTTTTCCTTCGATTTTCTTAGCTCGTTGACTGCAAGTCTTGTTTGAATTGATTGTTGATACTTTGAATGATTGAGATTACATTTGTTGAATCGGATACGCGGATATCATCTGTGTTTCTTTTGTGTTCAATTTTGAATTTTAGATTTGCCAAGAGTGGAATCATATTGCTTCTTTTTTTTTCCCCTCTGTAGTTTATTTTATTTTATTTTGGGTGACTGGTTAAATCTTGATGTTGATTTATCACAAATGGCGGAATTAAAAAGTTGCGAAAACGTTGAACCGTAGCCTCGTTCGCAAATTAGGAATGCTGTAATTCTTTCGAGTTCATGAAGTTGGATTCTGTTTTTGGAGCTGATGTTTACAATCTCATGAAATTTGATTTTTGTTGCATGCTGAGTTGGTGGAGTTGGTATAGATATGCCTCTTGGTAAATGAAACATTTACATGTCAGGCATCTAACTGATAGTAATATAGCAATGAAGATCCTTATTATTGCTTTGTTTGTAATGCTTATAAGTTTTCAAATTCGATCCTACAAAGTAATGGGTTGTTTATTTTTATGGCATTATTATGTGGAAATGTTTGGTTGACGGTGAGAGACAGTGAGGATTGCTGAGGATTGGCGCTGGTAGTTGCATGATGATATCTGCAATGAAGATCTAGTGTTGTTATGCTGCTTCTGGGTTTTTAGCATTTTTTTAATTGAATTTTCACCTAAAAGATAATTCTATTAGCATCAACATTTTTTGTTCCATATATGTTTGTCTAAGCACTTGTGCGCATATGGGTATGGTTTCTCTTTTGGAGGGAAGGGGTATTTGTAAATAAGAATAAACTCTGTTGTCGCTGTGTGTAATACTCTGACGCTGTTATCTGCATTCACTTATGTTTCTGTGCTTACTTCATGCATGTATCTGCGTGTGAATTTTCTAATAGTATGTCTTTTCATCTCTGTGGATTGTGAAGGTATGCTTTGCTTTTGCTTATCTGCCGTCTCTCCGTAAAAGGTTATAACTAGCGGTAGAACTCTCGGTTCTGTTTTAAGAATATTGTTCAAAGATGGGCCGTCTAAAGAGTGGAATCAAGACAATTGAAGAACGTGAAGACTGTGATGGCTATTCTAGTAATGCTACTTTAGCATGCATGATTAATTCAGAAATAGGAGCTGTATTAGCAGTTATGAGGAGAAATGTAAGATGGGGTGTGCGTTATATGTCTGGTGATGATGAGCTGGAACACTCCTTAATTCAGTCTTTGAGGGCATTACGCAAGACGATTTTTACATGGAAGAGTCACTGGAATACTATCGACCCTGCTGAGTATCTTGTACCATTTCTGGATGTGATTCGATCAGATGAAACTGGGGCTCCGATCACTGGTGTTGCTTTGTCTTCTGTTTACAAGATCTTAACATTGGATGTTATTGATCAAAATACTGTAAGTGTAAAAGATGCGATGCACTTGTTAGTTGATGCTGTCACTAGCTGCCGATTTGAGGTCACTGATCCTGTATCAGAAGAGGTAGTTTTAATGAAGATACTACAAGTTCTTTTGGCATGCATGAAGAGTAAAGCATCTGTTGTGTTGAGTAATCAGCATGTTTGCACTATAATGAACGCATGTTTCCGTATAGTCCACCAGGCAGGATCAAAAGGTGAGCTATTGCAACGGATAGCTCGGCATACCATGCATGAACTTGTTAGGTGTATTTTCTCGCACCTTCCCGATGTTGGCAACTCAGAAAAAGCTTTGGTAGATGGAGTAGATACTGGCGATTACAAGGTATAATTGCTTCTTACTCTTTTGTTTTCTTTTTGAATGTTTCCTTTCTCTGTGCTTTGTATTAGTTGTCAGGAGTGAAGGATGCTGAAAGCAATTTACTGAAATAAGGAATTTTTTTTTTAATGTAAACAAGGAAATAGTTGAATGATGATTGAAAGCCTGTTTTTCATTGTTGTTGGGGGCTACTTTTTGATTGTTAAAGAATCTAAACAAATCAGGGCGTTTGATAAAGCCTGTCCAGTAGATTCTAAAAACTATAGCCCATCAACATAATTTGAGAAGTAGGTCGATTGTTGCTTTTGCAAGTTGTTTCTGCTATCGTTGTTGAAATTTACCAAAGTATCCTTTGTAATGAAGTAAAAGTTTTCAATAACTAAAAAGGATTAGAAAATTCAATAACTATTAGCTATCTTACATGAATTTATAATTTATCCCTTCAAACAAAGATTAATTTCTTTCTTTTTAGGAGATGACAAAACTAGAATTTTATTTTTTAGAATTGTAGGGTAAAAATATTCTGAACGTTGACCTCAGTATTAGAAATACAAGCTAAAACTATAAATATGTGCACTTAAAAGTTTTTATTAAAATGAAAATGAAGTATTCCTATTTTAATCATCATACATATTTACAACAATTTAACCTATAGTTTACCAAACAAATTCTACTTTTGGTATTCATAGCACTTTTGAAAAAAAAAAAAAAAAAACGCCTACCTACTTTTGGTCATAATAACTTTTGACTAACAACACAACTGACGACAAATACTTCAACAACACAACAATGTCAAACTGGTTTTGAATATTCCTTTGGCTAAATGTTAGTAGAAATACGAAACGTGAATACTGGTCTTATTTATTGGTCTTAAGTTTCTTTTTGTCTCATTTCATTCTTTAGTTCCAGATGCCTTTCGCTACACTTATTCTCTATTTAGCAAGTAAAAAGTATTTGGCACTTGGTTTCTGTCTTGCTTCTTTGAGAGGAGATCTCTGTTGATGTATTAGGAAAACTTGCCATATTTTCAGGCTACAGGCTGCATACAACTTATTGCCATACTTGAGAAATAACAAATATATTGTTCTAATATTCACTTTTGAGAAATATTGCTTAATACATACATGAATTGATTGCTCCTTTTGCAGAGTACTGGGTTGAGCACTGAGTTCGAATTGGGGAATAGACAATTGGAAAATGGCAACATGATGTCTGAATATGATGGTCAAACATTACCCGCAAATCATGCATTGAATGCTTCTGTTGGACAACCAGCTATTGGAATGGATGAAAATCCAATTGGGACTGGGGCTGGGAAGGACACTGTTACATATGACTTGCCTATGATGACTGAGCCATTTGGAGTACCCTGCATGGTGGAAATATTTCATTTTTTGTGCTCTTTGCTAAATGTTGTTGAGCATGTGGGAATGGGTCCCAGATCAAATACCATTGCGTTTGATGAAGATGTGCCGCTTTTTGCCCTGGGTTTGATTAATTCTACTATAGAGTTGGTTGGTCCCTCCATTTGCCATCACCCTAGATTGTTGAGTTTAATTCAGAATGAATTGTTCCGTAATCTGATGCAGTTTGGCCTGTCAATGAGTCCACTTACTCTTTCTATGGTATGCAGCATTGTTCTCAATCTGTGTCATCAACTGCGGGCTGAACTTAAATTCCAGCTTGAGGCTTTCTTTTCTTGTGTGATTTTGAGGATCGCACAATGCAAATATGGGGCCTCTTACCAGCTGCAGGAGGTTGCTATGGAGGCTCTTGTTGACTTCTGCCGACAGAAAACATTTATGGTGGAGATGTATGCCAACTTTGATTGTGACATAACTTGCAGTAATGTCTTTGAAGAACTTGCTAATTTATTGTCGAAGAGTGCTTTCCCTGTTAATAGTCCCCTGTCATCAATGCATATTTTTGCATTGGATGGTCTTATTGCTGTTATACAGGAAATGGCTGAGAGGGTAAGCAACGGATCTGTTGGTCTGGAGCAGACTTCAGTAAATCTTGAAGAGTATACTCCATTCTGGATGGTGAAGTGTGACAACTACAAGGATGCTAGTCAATGGGTTCCATTTGTTCGCAGGAGGAAATACATCAAGAAAAGGTTGATGATTGGAGCTGATCATTTCAATCATGATCCAAAGAAGGGGCTAGAATTCCTCCAAGGAACTCATCTCTTGCCTGACAAACTTGATCCTCAAAGTGTGGCCTGTTTTTTCAGGTATACTCCTGGGTTGGATAAGAATTTAGTAGGAGATTTTCTGGGAAACCATGACGAGTTTTGTATTCAGGTTCTTCATGAATTTGCTCGGACTTTTGACTTCGAAGACATGAGTTTGGATACGGCATTGCGACTGTTTCTAGAAACATTCCGACTACCTGGAGAGTCGCAAAAGATACAAAGAGTGCTTGAGGCTTTCTCAGAAAGATATTATGAGCAGTCACCACATATTCTTGTTGATAAGGATGCTGCTCTATTGTTATCGTATTCACTCATACTGCTCAATACAGATCTGCACAATGCACAAGTGAAGAGAAAAATGACAGAAGAGGATTTCATTAGGAATAATCGGCGTATAAATGGAGGCAATGACCTACCTCGAGAATTCCTGTCAGAACTTTACCACTCAATATGCCAGAATGAGATCCGCACAACCCCAGAACAAGGCCCTGGTTTTTTGGAAATGACCCCAAGCCGGTGGATTGAACTAATACACAAATCAAAGAAAACTGCTCCATTCATAGTATCAGATTCAACAGCCTACCTTGACCAAGATATGTTTGCTATAATATCTGCGCCAACTATTGCTGCTATTTCCGTGGTATTTGATCAAGCTGAACATGAAGAGGTCTACCAAACATGTATTGATGGGTTCCTAGCCGTTGCAGAGATCTCAGCATGCCATCATCTTGAAGATGTACTTGATGATCTTGTTGTGTCTCTCTGTAAGTTCACAACACTGCTGAA